CTGATACCATGAATGCTTGAGGTATCTTACAAAGGCAACTCAGTGTAGTAGCATAATCAAGTTAAACTCATCTCTGCAGAATACTTTAAAAAAAAATAATAAAAAAAAGTTCACAAGCCATCCTCTCATTGTATGCATAATTAGAAATGTTATGGTTAACAAAAAATATCTTTTAAGAAAATATATTTTAAAAGTATCTTATAAATCCTGTTTTTTCCATTACTGTGCTAGAACTGGTACTTTAAACTCCGTACCATTGCTGTACGTAACACTGGACCAAAGTCTTCAGGTGACCTATATAAGATGCAATGAAATATTTTGTCTGCCATAGAATTCTGCATATCTACTAGATTTTTGTACTTTGTGGAGATAGTTCAAGTGTATATTGAAATCTGTTTGCACTAATTGACAGAGCAAATTACTTTTGGAACCGTATTTCCAAAAGACCTCTGAATTTATTCCTTCAATTTTACACGCCTGGGCTTCCATACCTTTGTGAATTTAATGTTTGTGCTCATCACTCTGGCATTTCCTAGCATTTGAAGAACCATTTCAAAGACCATTTTTGCACATGTGATGTCAGAACAGTTTAGCAGGACAGATTTTAGAAAAGACATGGCACAATTAGCCATCTTGGTGTCTTCATCCCATTTTCAAGTACTGTAATCAAAATTTTAACATGGAATTTTCTTGAGAGGTTGAATACCAGACAAAAAACTGGAAAAAAAAGAGGAAGAAAACAAAAACCTGACTCATTTTCTATGCTTAGTTTCTCTTCTTTAGAGGAGGAAAAGCCTGAAAAGCTTTTGAAAACAAACCCAAATATCACTGAGCTCTTTAATAAAATCTCTCTGATACATAACGTTCTGAAATCACAGTACTCAGAAAAAACACAGACAATTGATTAATAATGAGGACAGAAACACAAATAAATTTACTTCTAATGAAGACTGAAGACACAGTAATCAAAGTGTTAAAAATTCATTTCATGCACATTTCACTTGCCTCTTAGCTGATATTTATCACATAATTCTGTGAGAAAGTGGAGGCCTAAGATGCTCCAGATAAATGTCTCAATTAATTGTACAGAGATAGCCCTCTTTGAGCTGAACCAGAGCTGTGAGCTCTTTATTAAAAGCACTATTCTGTAGCCTGTAACCTTGTTCCTTGACTCCTCTCTAGTTTCCAATTTAAACAAGTCCCCATGCGGCCCACTCTAAAGGGCTTTGTCTCCCTGTCATTGTTATGAGAGCCAAGGCATCCTGGAAGTGTGAAATCAGACCTCATGAGCTGAACGGTTCCCCAGGGAACACAAGACCTCGCAGAAGGTCAAAGTCATGGGCTGGACCATCTGAAAGCGTCTGATCGCTGGCCTGTGACACAGCAAGAAGGGTGGGGGCAGGGGGAGAAGGGAGCCAGGGGGCTAGAATTGAACACATCTTAATTAAGCCCAAAGACTACAAAACAAACTATTTTTTAGTCAGGCCATCTTAAGGAGCTTGAGTTTTGCTCTGCTAATGAATCTGAGTTGGTAACTATTATTCCTTAACAGCACAGCACTTTTGCCGAAATCAATCAAATCTGTGGCACATCTTTTCCCACTCTGATTACTTTTTATCAATGAAAAGGCAGAGATTTCGAATTTTATTTCATTTAATTTCAAGGAAAAGGAGCAATGCATCTGCCCCAGTAAAAGAGAAGCAGACACTGCCTTGCAAAGCCAGCAGCCTTCCACAACCACCTACACCTGACTAGGCTGCTGAAGGTATAGATATATCTGACTATTGCCTAAACCTAAACTATGTCACTGTGAAGGGCTTATTGCTTTACTACTTGTAATTTATACGGGTCAGGTGAAACCCGTATGTATCATGTCAGAAGCCACTGTGATGAGTCCATTACACTTTAGGTTTTACTGAACTACCAGAAAATCTCTTCACATCAAAGGATGTCACTGTAGGCACAGCACCTGTCCTGCCAGGGATCTACAAGCAGTCAAATCCTTGAGAAAGTCTGCCAGAGATACCATGAACAAGAAAAGATTTAGGGAAACAGGAATAAACTCTTTCTAACTCGAGATTTAGGGAGAAAAAAGCCAGGCACTGATTAGCTAAAACACAGTGTAAGATTCAATTGAAAGTTTATTCTCAGACAGAGAAGGAAACACTTAACTTCATTATCAATATTTTTCCATTCATTAGATTACACTTTCAAAGAATTTATACTAAATAATATGTAATTTCTAGAAAGGTGTATTTGCTGTGACTATAATGTCCAACAGAACATAATTTTGCATTGGTGGAATCCCTAAAACTGTGTATTGATCATGGAACTACACTATTTGTCTAAGGGAATCAACCTCAGAGACCCAATAATTTTCCCGAAGGCCCTGGTCCTGAAAGATACCCTATTTTTCAGCTCTCCCAAAAATCAAGTTAAGCTTTCAAGCACTGGTGGGGAATCTCTCAAGCCCTGAATGGTTCTTCCCCTCCTAGATCTGGCATTTGGGTTGAGTGAGAGGTCTGACTGTTCTTTTCTGGGGTATTTTTAATAGCCAGTTATGGCATGTTCCAGCAGCACAGCATTTCAAAACCGGTAATGTCGACTTGCTCCCCTGCCTGCAACTTAACTGAAATTTCAGCTTATCCTGGCACATTATTCATTGCATGTACATGTGAGGGGAGTTGTAAGCTGAGATCCAAACCACCATCCTTAATCACTCTTTTAAAAAAAAAGAAAAAATCTGTACTAGCCTTAAGGATTTGAAGCACACTGTCCAACATTAGGCTATTGAAAGTGGGGAAAAATAACTGCCCCTGGTTATCAGCAGTTTATTAGGGGCTTAACTGAAGTGACCTACTGTAGTAGCATTCTGCTGAGGGAAGCTATGAGCTTTCTGAGGAAAGGAGTGGAATTGAGGGTTTCATTAAAAAGTAATTTGTGCTTTTTTACTCACTCATTCAACAGGAGTCTCAACTGCTCTTTATTCACACAGAGTTAGTACAGTGTAACAATGCTTCTCAATGGATGGTACAAAGGAAAAATTTCACATTTTGAAAGGGGAAAAAAAATCCTTGCAATGGTAGTAGGACTGATGACTACTTAAAAGATTACAGAAATCTTTTTCCCTCTGTGATTATGTTTAATGATGGAATATTAAGGATTTAAAAAATCTACTCAGCTCAAACTAATAAATTTTGATTTATTACTTCACATGAAAAGATTCCTGGAAGTGAAATGGGATATGTTTAGCAGACAGGAAACAGAGCAAAACACACAGATACTATTCAGTTGTTCTACCTACTTTTCAGACTCAGGGACAAAAGATTAACTCTGAAAACACAATACAGTAAGATGAGCAAACTAGTCCTTAGCTTTAACTCATAGAAGCAATCCTTAGTGGTGTAAGTAACACCACTGATGACAGCTCTCTCCACTCTAATTACTTAGTTGAATAAAGGTGAGTCAAGTTTTTACATAATTTTTGCAAACATGATTTACTGACAATCACCAAACACCTACTTTATTTCTCGCTATTACTATTCAAAGTTTAATTTAAAATTAATGACCTGTACATAAATACAAGTTACTAAAAATAGCTATAAACTACAACAGTAGATAATATAACCACCTCATCCTCATTTCAAAATACCCGGTTACTTTTGCTCAGAATATACAAGATTTCTGTCACATATGGAATGTGCAGCCATCTTACAAAATACATCGCTGTATAAATGCTTTTTCTTACTAACAAGGGAAGATACTAAGTGTTCTTCCCCATCTTCCTTTCTGTCATGCTAAATATAATGTCTGAAAATGTTTGCTAGCTCTATACATCTTTAATTGAATCGAATGTATTTCCAAAAAATTGTTCAACCAGCACAAATAACACGTTGATTTGGAAAAGTCAAAAACTGAACGAGGTCAGGGACTGAATTATCCCATTTGCCCCTGAATAACTTAATCTCTCTCTCTGTTCAGAAAACATTGGATTATAAGGTCAAACCAGATGGAGGGATCTTTAGAAGTATTTCTACAACCTCACCAAAAATAGAATCTGTTATTTTGTGTGCCACAAACTGGTTGATCAGTTTCAGCAATAAAGTGTTTGCACTATTACCTTCTCTAAAATACTGGTAGTCATGTTAATTATCAAAAAAACCTACTAAATATCAAGTAAGATGCTCTAAATCTATATCTGCTCGTTTAACAGAACATTTATTCTATTTTCCTTTCATTTTCTTCTTATTTTTTAAAATTTTCATTATTATTTTAAAGCAGAGATGGCTATTTTCTGACACAGATGCCGCTCATTTTGCTCCATTCAACTCATGCAGTATAAAGGTAATTGTACTTAGAGGAAATGTGGCACTTGGATACTTCTAGATAAATATGGTCAGTATGCCTGAAATACTTTTTCTTTATTTTGTAAAGCAACATATTAAATTAACCATTCAACTTATAACATAAAATAGAATTGAAAAAAAAAAAATCTCATTTTCCTTATCTTAAAAAGATGAGCAGTAGCTACAGAAAACTGCATTCAGTTGAAATGTCTGAAACCGACAGCAGTCTTGCTAAATATCTGACAGATCTCAAATGGTTCTTTTGGCAACAACTTTAAAGTAGTATCTAAGTCTGGAACACTTTATTTGCCTTGTCCCTTGGAATTTAATGTTGATAATTTTGTACAGCTTCATCTACTAAAACAGATTTCTTCTATGTAATTCTTATAGGATGTCTGATGGAGAAAAATATGTAACTCACCTTTATCAAAAATAACCTACACAGGACTCTGCTAGCATTAGAATGACTTGCTGCCTTACTTACAAAACTTTCATTTCTGTTTAGATTTTTTTCTTAATGAGCAGAAGGTGAAAGTACACAAGCAGAACATAACGTTTAGATGAACATTTGTTTTAAGCACTTTTTTCCCCAGTTCTAAAAACACCAGATCTTACTACGATATTCAGTGTCACAGAAACTAAATGAATCCTTGCCTGTAACATCAGCTGCCATCAATGCTTCTGCCCTGATAACCTTCACTTGAAGAAATCCCACATCGCTGATGTTATGGAACATCATCATTGGACTCTAAAAAATAATAAAAAGAAAAATAATTCTATATTGCAAGGGAGACAAATCAAAAGCAATATTAATACACTCCTCCCTAGTCCAGATGTAAGTTACTATAAATCTGTCTACATACTCAGACTTTTAAATATTATTTGCTGAAGAGTGTGCAGATGTTTGCATTTCTTCCTATATTTTGCAACTTTTAACTTATCAATGAAAATTACAAAGGAAAAGTTAGAATATTATTGATTAAATATAACACAAATTCTAGTGAATTAATCCTCAAGTACTGTGGAAATAACTGTCCTTCAAAATTTGAAATTCTAGCAGTATATTAAGAAATTAACACAAAAAATGAAACAACTCCTCTTCCTGAATTATTTTGCAAGATCTATGTTCACATTTTCCCTCTGATGGCTCCAATGTTATCTTGAGCAGTGACCTAGGGCCAATATAGATTTTTGTAGTTGACTATTACATGCAAGCTTGTATATACCAATACACCTATATAAGCTTGTGAATAACATCAGCAAAAGCAATAAAAAGAGGATAACAACTACTTAATTACTTTCATAATAATCACATGCAGAAAGGATAAAAATAGAATTAAATATGTTTCAAATTCCATGGCAGAAAGCTCTTACCATAAATCATTATATTTTTAGCATAAATTTCTTCAATATATACATGCATTAAGAAGAGGAAGAAAAAAGAGTTCACTACACTAACGCTTGCATTTATTCACCCAACACAGATTTAGAAAGCTTATTTAAAAACCATGTTCCACTGCTGCTCTTTTTCCAAGTAACCAAAACTAACAAACTGGGAGTATTGCACTAATTAGGTGTGACATGCTATAATTCTCAAACTCTAGCTTTTAGTATTATTTAAAATTTGCAGAGTTTTAAATGATAAAACATTTAATGCAACTTTGAATCTGTAATCAATTAATAACTAGTCTGGCTTTATTGTTCAGTTCTTAGATAACCCAGGGGAGGAACTCCAAAATAACTTAAAATTAAATTTGCAAATCTATATATGTGGTCACATTTTTGGTTGGTTTTTCAAATTTTATTCATAAATATTAGCCCCTACCTTTATTTTGAAATATTTTTAAATCTCAACTAATGTATTTAATGCCTACAGTTTTCTCGAAAATTTTAATGTGGTGAAAGTTTTTCCACTGCCTATGACAATGTCCAGATTTCTACAGAAAGCAAGCATCAGGAAAAAAACATCCAATCAACAATTCCTTAATTTATTACAGACGCAAAATTTACTGTTATGGAAAACGAGAATAAATTACATCGCTGAATCTAAATATCACAGATGCTGCTTAAATGAAACATTAAATGTCAGCTTGCAAAAACAGTATGCTTTTGCACAGAAAATCTACCCATGAAGATGCTGACATATAATATGCATCCCTGTCTTTCTATTAATAAGACAATTCTAACAGTTAAATCACACTGATACTAATTTCACAAACCCCCGCAGACCATTTACCGTTTACAGTGAAGATTTGACCTTGCTACACTGAACTTAAAAATCTAAGTAAGTGTAGTAGCCCATATGTTATATACATGCATCATATTATAATGGGATAACAGTGAATGCATTTTTACCAGTTTTAATAAGAGGATCATCATAAATATGACTTCAAAATACTGATGGTCAATTTTAATAAGCACACACTCAACCCCTTGTTTATGTGCTTACAAGCTGAGGGTAGCAGAGATGGTATTACAGATAGCACTGGTATAATTCAAAAGCATCTTGGTACCCCCTCATTTATTACAATGATGATCAGGGTTTGGGAGCTTCTTATCAGAATTGGTACCAGAACAGAGATAATTCTTCTGTAATAGCATGATAAAAATTATAGGACTTACAAAAATGTTTCCACATTCTACCCAAGTTTCCCAACAACCAAAACAAGCATCAAACTGTAGAAATAGAACAAAGCAAAAGCCAAGTACAAAGCAAGAGACGGCACCTGCTTCCTATCATGCCATATAGTCCCCTTTCTCCAAATTTCATCCTGGTTAGCCCACTCTTCAAAAGGGTGCCAGTGCTGTATTTTGCTTTGCCACCTTTGTCAGAATCCCACAGAATTTTTGAACCTTTATTTCAAGAAAGTAGGTGGCTTAGATTCATTTACTGCACATTCGGACTGGGGAGATGATGAAAATTAATACAATGACACAACAGAGGCTCTTGGAGAAGCAAATTACTTTAACACATTACTTTAAATACATAACTTTAAGTAATGATTTATCAGATGATATTCTGCCTTCTTATTTATGATTACTGTTGAAGGCACCAAAAATCCGCATAGTTTCTGAAGCCTCAATTTTCCATGGCAGAGGAATCTGTGGTTTGCTGGGAATCTTTTCTGCCCTCAATAGATGGGAAAAGATTGAAATGCTCTGGAGATGAGTCTTCTTTATTTTTTTAATGAAAGGCTGTATAATATATTTTCTGTATGGCTGCAGCAGCTGTCAGGAAGAGCATCTCAGTTCAGCTCTATTATGGGAGAAGCAATACCCCATCCCATGGCATTGAGATACACTGAGGGGCTAGTACTGATTGACAGCTTGTCACCATGACGTCTTATTCCATCTCTGTTATGGAGAAAATTAATGTCACACCACCAGCCTTATGACTTGCTGTCATCTTAGAACTGCTCACCTTTTATCAGTGCTCTAAATAACATTTCAAGCCCATCGTCTCACAGTGGACAATCTGGTCAAGGGACATTAAATCAGATGACTGTGAAATGTCATAATAAAAATGGAATGCTAACAACTTCTCTAAACTAGCTCCTCTGGTTTTTAAACTGTGACAAGGGGGACCATGAGTTCAGCACACCAGTTCTGAAAAGGTCATACAATCTCTCTTGGTCTGTACCCATTAATGTGCCCCCCTCCTCACCCCAAAAGGAATTAATCTTTTCAGACAATTGTGGTAAAATAATGGTTCAAACAGTAATGCCTGTTTAATTTGTAAGGCTCTGATGTTCAGCTACAAATGGTTAAGTGACAGTAATAGAGTCATTTTCTAAGGCTATTTGATCTGATGGCAAGGTCAGCTCATTAACTGTTTTTGGCTGTAGAAAGGGTGCAAAATACATTTCTCAAATGAAAGCTAGATTTTTTTAAGAAGAAATAAACCCAAAAATACAGCCACTCAACAGGGAGCTCTGCATCTTGCTACTTGCATGTGTTGTCTTTGCATTAGTTCTGAAATGCAGATATGAATACCAAAGTCAAAGTGAATATCATTGAAAGCAAACTACTTGAATTAAGTTAATATTGGTAATTTCTTTCTTGTGCTGGTAATTTTAATAAAAACAGTGGAATTTATCAAAAAAGTATTTAAATGCCACAATTTTCACAAACACATAATGAGAAATTCATACCTCTGCAATATAAATGTCTTCTTAAAATGTAAATGTTTTGAAATGCATACGGCCATGTAAATATACAAACAGACACATATCCTTGTATTTCCAAGAAACAGGAATAAACCAGATCAATTTTATACCACATAATTATGCTTTACACTGGGCACAAAAAAATTGAGGATTTAGGAAAAATTATTAATAGTACAGTCGTAACATGTTTCTATACTGCTACTGAAATAATCAAAACCATCAGTATCACTTGTCTGCCATATCATCACACAGAATAAGCCACAGAAATATGTTATTGTTGCTGCTGGTAGCAGGAACTATGGCACCTCAAAAACATATCCATCAAAAAAATTATTCTACTTATAGACATCTATTTTGACAACCACAGACTGCCTTGGTGGATTCCAAAATGTGCAGTAACACTCTTAATTGTAAATATTTTTCAGAGATGGTGGACAATACCTTAGCCTTCAGTTCATTTTGGAATATTATATCTAGCCTCACTAAGTCACCTCTATTAAATTGTGTTTATGATAACACTATTGATGTATGAGTTGTACAAGCATTAGCAGACAGCTGATTCAGTGGAGATAGACAGAATAAATTTGCTGAAGCACACATCCTGCTAATCTGTTTGAAGAATATTGTACAGTATTAGTACTAGGACTTCATGTTATCTGCACGGGCTGATAAGGTACATCTTTATTAAATTCTGTTATTGAAAGGATGTCCGTCATAGAATAGGAATATTTTTAAATCTTAAAAATAAATTAAGCAGCCTCTTTGATAGTCAGAGCTTGGTTTAATGGCTGAGTATCTAGAGAAGCCCTTCTAAACACCTGGCAGCATTGTACAATAAAAGCTTTGTAATTGCAAGTGGAAATAGCATTTTTTTCTTTCTTCCTTCATGTGTAGGGAGACAGTTACTTTTAGTGATTTAGGTATGAGCAAATGATGGAGCAAGAGCTCCCCTCTCTGTTGCTTTGATAAAACTACAAAGATTCTGTGTAATGTGAGGATGCTGGGAAATTAAAATAATCTGCTTCAGAATATTTTAGAATGGAAACATTGTTTGAAAAAATTATTTTTATGCGCTTCAGCCTCTAATATGAACACAAAAAAAAGTTTTCTTGCCCTTTAACAGATGACACCTAAAAAAGCTGAAAACCATCTGCACCTCAAATTATTTGGCATAAACAATCACTAGAAACTGTCGAGTTGCTGAATGATCCCTTAGTCACTTTCTCATTGGTAAAAATTATCTGCAAGGCAGTAAAATTACCCTCATTATGTGACACCTCATCAAACAGTTCAACTACCATGTAAAAAATAACCTTATTGTATGAAGAGCATTTGTAGCCTTCTTGATGTTACCTGTTCCGGCTGTAACTACTTGTGTATTAAGAACTAGTTTAAATGATTGTCGTTGGCTAAGTATGATTAGAACAGAAGAGATATATTTAGATTTTCCCCTCATTACAGTTATTTTTTATAGGCCAGTGTTTTGCTAACAAAGGATGAAAGAAAACTTCATACATATCTCTTCAGTATCTCCTCTCGCTCCTTCTGGTCCTCCAGGGAGTTGATGGAGAGGTCAGAGATAGTGACTGCAGCTGAGGCTGTGAGAGTGACCAGCAACACCAGGTATCCCTCTCCCTCCTCTAGAGGCATCTCCAGCTTGTGGGTTTGTTCTTTACTCAGGGTCGAGAGGTCAACCTGGCACCTAGAAACACACATTCTCCATCAGCATGTGGTTTTTCTCACATCAAAGAAGAGCACAATGGCTCGCTTGCATTCAAATGGACAAAAAACCCAAGTAAGCAGAAACTCCCACTCAGCTTCTGGAAATTCTTATTTTCTCTTCAGCTTTAACCCATGATGCTTGTTTCTTTTTTTTCAGAGCTACACAGTTTTGAAGTGAAAAACCAATATTGATAAGAATGTAAAGGCTCTAGAGACAAGATTAGCTAATATTCTTTACTCAAATGCATTCAAAGAAAATTTTAGAAAATCCAGCTCAGATGCAAATTTTACTTTTATCTTGTATAGATATAAATCATAAGTTTTCATGTGAACAGTTTTCACCTAGCAACAGTAAAAACCCTTTTGTAAAAAATAAAATTTTTCATGGACTTAATTGTGATGGCATAAAGATGACTGAGTACAGAAAAACTCAACTTATGCACCCCCTGAAAGGCTCAGCTCTCATGCAGTAAGCTGTATATGGGTCAAATCCTCATGCAGGCACCCAAGGTAAAATCTGATGCCACAACCCCTTATATAGAATGTCTCAGGCTGCAATGGGCAGGGTCTACACCTAACTGTGCAGAGTGTGTGCCGAGTGGCTGAAGCAAATCTGCCCTGCTTGATCCCCTTCCAAATACATCTGGCTGTACCATACACTGAGCTAATGAAGAATGATTCCATACGTGCCAGACAGCAGAAACAGATTCGCAACATCTTTAGAAATGTAAGTCAAAGGATGGAAGGAAAAGGAGTATCTCTGCTACCCAAGAGCTGACTATGATAACCTTTTAAATAAAACAATAATATATTACTGTTGATTAGTCTGCCCACAGCTTAGATGTTTTAATACTTTAAATTGTACAATGCACAAGTTTCAACTTTCCTAAATTGCAACTCTGAGCATAGTATGGAAATTCAGTGTCTGTGTCAAATGTAACGCCAGCTTGCATTGGACAGGAATTTCTGTGAAAAAGCACTAATTGGAATACTTATAGTATCCCAAAATGAGTTTTGCCAACTCTATGCTCTAAATAAAACCACCAATAATACTAAATAAATAAAATAAATAAAATAAATTTATATATTCTATGTATAAGTTAGTCAAAGTGTACTCCATTTTCAATAGAGATTATTTAATGTGACAAGCACATGGACTATATGCCACTAATTCACTAAACTAAATATCTAGCAAACTCTTTTCATAAAATGTCAATTGATTTTGGAGACAAAGATAATGTTGTCACTGCAGGGCCAATAAACTGAGAAAAAAGTGGCAGACATGAAAATATAGCCATTTAAGGAAAGGAAATAGCCAATTATGAGAATAAATGCAGCCTTGTAAAATGAGCATTGTGCTATCACAGGCAGATCAAATTTATTACAGGAAAACTGTCTTTTGTTTTTTTAAAGACATTTACTGCCTGTTATGCAGTTCACTTAACTACTGCAAATCTCATATAGTAATAAGGTTCAATTATTTTACAATGAAAAAATTTCCAACTTATGTAGCACTCTGTGCTTAATGCTTTTCTTCTACTTTGAACTCTTTGGATGATAAGGAGTGAGAAATTAAATTAGCAATATTAAGAAAAAATAAAGCTGTTGCTATCAGTGCAGGCTGATAATCAATACAAGCTTGGTACATGTACATAAATAGTCAAATTCTTATTTATGATGAAGTGAGGAATTTAAAGCCTTCCTTAAGACAACAAATATTGTAATCAAGCATTCAAAGCTGCAGTAGGTTAAAACATCTCTGATATTAAGTACTCTTCAAAAATTTATTTCAAAACAGATACCACTCAAAAATAGGACTCAGCAACAATATTGTCTTCAACCAATAAGCATTTAAAGAACCAGTCTAAACTTTCTTAAAATCAGTAAAAGAAACAGAAGACCATTACGATACTAGAAATGAAGAAATAATCCACTCCTCACTCAAAAACAGGCAACAAAAGCTATCCCACATATATCCATCAGAAAAAAGCAATGAGAGTAAAATTACAAGGTCTACATCAGGGCTACTAGATGCAGTTTCTTCAATTCTTGAAGCTACAACACTTTAACAACATGGGTAGTTTAGTTTTTTTTATTTAGGCTAAAATAAGCAACTAATAATTCGATTTTACCTGTGCACATTTCCAACAGCAATGAAATATTCCTAATAGCACCACATCTAGAACAGATCACCTGAGAAATATGTATCTATCATCCGCTTGATAAATCTTCATGAACAGGCTATCACCAGCTCATTATTTCCTAATATCATACAAATGTAGGAAGTGATCTGGAAAAATTTTTCCAGTAAAAGCCTTAACCATTTTAAAGGAAAATTATTCTCTCAAGGTCCCTCAGAAAATTTGATAAAAATATAGGGTTATTCCATTAAGGACTGTCACCTTTGTGCTTTACAGAAGTCCATGTTAAGAGCATCTTTATGTACACATGGTCAGGTGAAAGCAGATTTCTCACCCCATGCCAGGTGCTCTGCCCTGGCCTTGCAGGAGATGCAGTTTACACGTGCTTAACTTGAAAGTACGGAGGCTCAAGGAGCTCCAGCCCAAGGGCAGTGTATTTACAGCACATGCATTTCAGTAACATAGTAAAACTTTCCAATCTGCAGACAAGGCAAGAAAAATTGCAATTTTTTTCCCATTAGTCGTTGATTTTTTTTTCATGATAAAAAATCAACTTCGTTTGATCTTCATGCCAAATTATCCTAAAAAAAATGACAAAAAATTTTATCATTTTTTGTTCATTCTCCTCTGACCTCACCAGATCTTTGTATGGGACCAAAAAAAGTGAAGGATACGGTTATAAAGGTATTACCTAAATGCTGACCTTATCACAGAATAATCTTGACAGACTCCAATAGGAAAACCACAAAACTCTTTTTTATACTACATTTCCTTAGTAGGACTGAAACTAACAAAATTCTTCCAAAAATAAGCATCTCTTTGGCAAATACCTGTTTTCCAAATGTAAATATCTTTGGAAAGCTCAAGCTGACAATGTCCCTTAATATTTTACTGGAATTATATTCAAGTATTCCAAGCTTTAAATCTTTGGCAATGCTGAATTTTGTATCAGTTAAGAAGTTCTCTAAAAAGACATTTGTTTCCTGCAATGCCTGTCTCCATGAAGGACAAAAATGCTTTGAGGATGAAGGGGAACTTGTACATTACGAGAAAGTGGTACAGAATGAATGAGACATTTTTGTCCTGTTTTCTCAAATTAAGGACCATGAAAAATTTCAGACATTTTGAGGAGACCATAAGCTGCATATGACCAGCAGCTGTCACTTTGAAAACATGAGAAAATACTAACTTTGTACAATCCTGTTTCTTAAGGAATTATTATTTACATGCTACTGGTAGAGGCAAAGACTTTTTCCACCTGTGATGAGATCAGCCTGAAGAATTATTGACAAAAAATTGCCGTTAACTCAACAGACAGATTTCCAAGCATGATTATAAATCATATTGCAAGTAATTGTAGTTTTTAGGGCAGTTTGAGTTTTTCTGTATCTTCCATGCTGTATGGCCCCCTCAGGGCACATTGGTTTCAGCACTTCAAGTGGTGGGCAGGAGCACTGGAACAATTTTGCTGGCTGGCTGGCCTTTCAGAAAGAGACATAGGGGTATGTGTCCCACCTGTCAGTTCTGCATGTGAACACTACAGGCACCATGTATAGCTGGATTTTCAGGTCTTATGAGATCAGAAGGGAGAAAAACCACAAAAGTGCATCAAGCTCATGTGCCAAAGTTATCACAGATGAATTGCTCAAAAACAGGGTACAGCTCCCACGGAGGAAGATTTGAAGGTTCAAGGAGAATCAACCACTTGTCGGAAACTGTGTTCAGCGTGTTAATCACACAAAATTTTAGAAATATATTTCAGATTTATTTTTAATTTGAATATATCTGGCCTTTGGTTCTTTTTATGCCTTTCCTTACTAGTTGAAAAACCCTTTAGTGTTTCATGTTTTCTTCTAGTGAAGGAACTCATACACTATAATCATATCTCTTCTTGATCTTCCTTTTGATATGCTAAACACTTTCAGCTCCCTATACATTTCCTAGGAACATATCTCCTACAGCCCTCAAATGACTTTTTGTAACTTTTCTGATCCAGTGAAATTCTCCTGCATCCTTTTTAAAGTGTGGAAGGCAGAACTATATGTAGTATTTTATTATCAGCATGTCTAACAGGTAAAAATCGCCTCCCCTCTTTAGTTCTAACAGAACCTGGAATGTAAGACTGTGTTGGCACCCTGGTGAAATATTCTTGCTAATGAATGAATTACAAAGGTAGCGACATGACATAGAAGGCCTCTTAAAAGCCAGGTGGCCAGGGAAGTGAGAGACAGCAGATAGTGAGATCGTTTTCTCACATGACAAAATAAAGCATAAAAGAGGAACTGGCACAATCCTAAGTGATAGGGACAGAAAAGCACCACTTGGCTACAAACCAGGCAACTTAATTACCATCATGACTTGTTCAGGAACACAGATTTTTAACTCCACTGTGATCCAGGTCTATGCTGCTCCAAAGGATGCCAAGGAGAGGAAACTGTGTGATTCCACAATTAGAACTGAGCTGGACACACATCAGAAGCAGCAAGGCATGAACTGCTACAATTTGTGAGACTCCACATCCTTTATGAGCAGAGTAAAATGTTCCACTAAAACCAAGAAACAAAAGGAGAGGGAAAATTTTGCAAAGCACTAGCAGAAAATGACACATCTCAGAAACATTGAGTGTTGACTGCACTAATGTGAATTTCTTGGAAGAATTGGAGCATGACATTTTTAACTGTAAAGATAATGAGAAAGAAATTAAATTATGGACTCCACATGATGCTTGTGTTAAGTGGTTGATAGAGGTGTTAGATTGAAAACCAGGGAAGCTCTCAAAGGGGTATGAGACAGTATCTCAGCTAAGTTGGACATTGACTAAGGACAAGAGAGGATTAGC